TATATATATATATATATATAATATATGTATATATATATACAACAAAAAACAGAAAAAAAAACTCCTAGTGAATAAAATATTGAAGGAAAAACCAGTTTCAGTGGTTTATAAACATTTCAAAACGAAAATCATCTCCGCAAGAAATTAAGATTTAAACTTCCGTTTTGGCATGTCTCCGTGTTCTTACTTTTTTGTCACGCATTCAAAATTAAAAGAACCCCTGAAAATTAAAAATGAATTACATAGGACTAATGGCAATACTCAATAAGTTACAGATTCAATAAGATTCAGCTTTCAATGATTTACAGACGTTTAACGAAAATGTTTAATTTTGCTGGCACTTATGAATATCACCCATTAATGAGCAATTTTTTTCTCGTTGGAAATAGCAGTGACATATGTACGGGGAGCGTTGAGGCACACGACTCCCCTCTACTGATCTCTACTATAATAATAGCAATTATAGCAGAAGTGCTCCCCTCCAAAGGCGTCGATCCGTGGTTGAAAGTGGGGGGGGGGGGACAAAATGAAAAATAAAGCCTTTGGCTGTAGGCCCAAGCCTTGGTTGGGGACCAGGTGGCGAAGCCCCCGGAAGCTCTGGCGCCTATAGCCTTTTAATTGATTTTAAGCAATGCAATAACATTTATTTCCATACGAAATTTCAAAATATCCAGTGGCGGATCCAGTAATTTGAAATAGAGCTGGGCCCAGAGAGAGACTTTTACAGATGGAGAGTGTAGACCACCTCAACCCCACCATGGTTGGGGCTGAGGTAAGAAAAGTTATGATTATGGCACCTCTAGTTGGTCGGAAAAGGCACTCTCAGACTGAATTTGAATACAGTATAATTTTCATTTCCTCCACTTTTAAATTTCGGGGAAAAAATAAATTAGGGCCCCTTGAATCTACCACTAAAATACTCATCATAAAAAGTTTTTAAAATTATCCTTTTAGTCATAATTATGCCCGCTTATATATTTCGTGCAAAGTAACATTCATAAAAATAATGATTTATTATCTACTGATTAGCTTGTAACGTATTCAAAATTCGAACCATAAAAAAAAAAGATAAACTTAAAACAGTCATTAATTTAGTCTTTTTGCATGTACAGTACTTTCAAAATCAATCAAGAGGTTTCTGCTTTTCTCCTCTTTTTGAATTTCACTTTTGTGTAAGTAATATTGCGACTACACTATTGTGAGTGGAAATAATACCGTCTAATTTACGATCGAACAGGACTAGGGAAATAGGGAGCACACAAATCATTGGTAAGTATTTTTGATTTCACAAACATAAAGGTGATTTAATTAATTTATCATTATCAGTGGCGGCTCCAGGAAAGCAAATTAGAGGGGGAACAGGGAGGGACTTGCACAATTTGGAAAAGTAGATCACCTTAGCCCCACCATGGTAATTTATGATTATGACACCTCTAGATTGGCACTCTCAGACCTAAATTCTAATTATAATTTTCTTTTGTTTTTACCATTTTTAAAAAATAATTTTTAAAAATTTAGGGTCGGCTCGGCCCCACTTGTATCCGCCACTGATTATTATGACGTCATTGCGAGATTGCGTCAACGTAACACTGGAGTTTGTAAACTGTTTGTATCACTTAAATCGAAATAGATAGACATATCCATGTCAAAGGCTGTATAATTATTGTTTAATAATGGCTATATACAATTCAATTGACTAACTATAATTTTTTTTTAAATTAGGAAAAACAGTAATCCTATGTATTAAATACTATATACGTACGGGTTATAATAATACGGTACAGGTCATAATAATATACAAAAGGAATATAGTTTATAGTAGAAATTGTGCACTTTTGAGTTTGTAAAAATATTAGCCTAATAAGTATACACGCTTCCAATTTTAACAACGTTCAGTACATTGTTTTCACAATAAATTTAGCCTCTGATAACCGTTGCACCCATAAAATCGATCTACTGGTTATACATAATAATAATTTTAATAATAATAATAATAATAATAATAATATTAATAATAATTATAATAATAATAATAATAATAATAATAATAATAATAATAATAATAATAATAATAATAATAACGAAGTAAATCGGTCCAGTGAATTCGATCCAACTCGGCCACAAGTCAACTCGGCCACAAAAAGTTCGGCTACAGTCAACTCGCCCACAAGTCAACTCGGCCACAAGTCATTTACTGGTACTACTGTTACTACACTTTGAAGGAGTAATTCATCAAGTATAAAATACTAATTCTTTAATTATTACTATACTTATTGTTATTATTATTGCTGTTATTATTGTTGTTATTATTATTGTTGTTTTTATTACCGTTAGTTTTAATATTAATTATTAGTCTTAGCATTAACATTATTTATTTA